TGGGGGGCCTTTATCGCCCCCTTCACCCCTGTCCAACAATACTATGTGCGCACACTCGTTGATCAAATGTCACCTAGGTCCGAGAATCCCTCGGAACAGACGAAACAACGTCGGCACGCGCGCGTCGTCGCGCGCGCATGCTTGAATAGTGCAAACAAGCCATAGGTTTCGTAAGGATTTCAAGATCGAGTTCCCCTTGTTACGTTTTGCCAACCACGGGTTCTGCAACACGAGTTGTCAAACAGTCTGCGCGCGCGCTCCTGCGACTTCTTGGGGCAACCGTCGAATTCCTGACTTTTCGCCAAATGAGACCGCGCATGCCTCCCGCGCGCGCATGTAGAAATCCTTCGAACGCCCTCGCGCGTTCGCTGGGGGGGTGGGGGGGAGGCACGGCCCCCTCGAAAAATGCAGTGCGCGTCACTCGCGCGCGACTGTCAAAATCGCTCCAACACCTTCATGATCGACACATGGACATCATCATCATCATCATCATCATCATCATCATCATCATCATCATCATCATCATCATCATCATCATGACCAAGCTCATCACCATCATCGTCATCATCATCATCGGCTTGACCAACATCGACGCCGTCATTGGCCTTGCCGTCGTCATCGCTATCATCGCCACGAGCACCGCTACTATTGTCATCGTATCCACCATTGTCGACGTCACCATGATACCGCGCCGGCCCGACTTACCGATTCGCATTGAAGTGCCCGCGCGTCAGCGCGTCCTGCGAGACGCGGTGGGAAGTCCCCAGCGGTCAGCGCCATCGCGGCCGACTCGATCGGGCCAGACTAGCTGGCCGCTCTGCGCGCGAGCCTGCGCGCACTAGCGCGGCCGCAGCGATGCGCCAGCCAGCGCCAAGCAGTCATCGCAATCGCCACCGTATGGGTTTCGCAAGCCAAGTTGTGGGCGGGCGGGTGGGATGATTGTGCGAGCAATGGGATTGACAATGATTTGTCAACTCCAAGTTCTTCAACATCGATCCCACCAGCCGTTTGGGCTAAGGTGATCTAGCGAGTTCTTTCTTTCCTCTTCCAAAAACCCGCTTTCCTTCGGGGAGGCTTGCCTTCCCCCCCCGTGTCCCTGGGCAGGGGCGAGGGGTGGAGGGGGGCGGAGCGGAGATGTCAGAGCGCCCAAGACGGCCCAAGATTGCTCCGAGAGGGCGTCCGGTGTTCCAAGATGGCCTCCGATACGGCTCAAGATAGCTGGCGCTGCTTCAAGATAGCTTCCGACATACATCCGAGAAGCCCGACGACAGCCACAATACGGTTCCAAGTGCTCTCGGAGCCCCCCTCAATATCCACCCCAAGAGGGCAGAATCCTTCAACCACGTACGGGAACTCGCTGAGTTTTGCCTTCTCGCCTTTTTGCTCCCGACGCGCTTTTTGAGCCCCAAGATGGCAACGTCATGGCCAAAGGGAAGCCCAAGAGGAGCCCAAGACGCCCTCCCCTGCCCAGACGACCTCAAGAGCGCCCAAGAGCTGCCCCAGAGCGTCCCAAGAACGCCCCAAGAGGCGATTGTGATAAACCCAAGGAGAATTGGGAAGGGGGGGAAGGGGGTGAGGGGTGAGGGGGGAGGGGGGGGCGGGCGCGATTTCTATATATATTATATATATATATATACACACATACTTCACCACCACACAACACACCACCCACCACCACCACCACCACCACCACCACCCACCACCACCACACCACCACCACCACCACCACCACCACCACCACCACCACCACCACCACCACCACCACCACCAACCACCACCACCACCACCACCACCACCACCACCACCACCACCACCACCACCACCACCACCACCACCACCACCACCACCACCACCACCACCACCACCACCACCACCACCACCACCACCACCACCACCACCACCACCACCACCACCACCACCACCACCACCACCACCTCCTTTGGCCGACTCCCTACAAGATGGCCGCTGGCCCCAAAAGGCCCTCCACGGCCCCCAGTTGGGTCCCAAAGGGGCCCCTTGACGGCCCCGAGAGCGTCCCAAGAGGGCCCCTCTTCCTCCTCATTCTCCTCCTCCTCGCAGACCTCGCAAACCTCGCAGACCTGAGGCGCGCTTGGTCTTTCTGTGAACACCCGACGTCCACCAAGATGGCCCAAGAGCGCCCAGGAGGCCTCCGAGATGCTCCAGCTCAGGAGGCCCCCAAGACGGCCCCAAGGCGACGCAAGAGGCCTCCAGGACGGCCCGAAAACGCAACAATAATGCTCCAAGATGGGCCAGGGCGGCCCCCCAAGACGGGCCAGACGGGCCAGGAACGCCCCAAGACGGCCAGAGAGGCCTCCAATAAGACCCGAAGGCCCCCATGAGGCCTCAAAGAAGCCCCAGGAAGCTCCCAGTAAACACCAAGAGTGTCCCAAGAGGCCTCCTCCTCCTTTTTCCTCCCTCCCCTCCTCTTCTTCTTTCTCCCCCTCGTGTTCCCCGAATGGTTTCCACAACGGCTGAGGGAACACGTAGCGTCACGTAGCCCGGTAGCTTGGTCGAGCTCTGGCCACAACGTTCGGCCACACAGGCGCTTCCAAAATTGCAGGGGCCAGAGGGGGATTCGCAGTGGGCGTCTTCGATATCGTCGAGTTGCATAGCAGTGCTCGTCTTAGCAAGCTGTAGCATGGCACTGCGCTGCCAAGTATTGCAGGGCGCAGCTTTGTCGCTTCCCACCCACCCGACGCCCCAGCCAGATAAGCGGAAAGGGCGACGGCGGCGACAGTGGCGACCTTGACGACGGCGACGGCGTCGCCCCAACGTCGGCGGCAGCAACGACGCCGTCGTCGTGGCCGTTACCGTCGTCGTCGTCGTCGTCGCCGTCGCCGTCGCCGTCGCCGCCGTCGCCGTCGCCACCGCCGTGGCCGCCACCGTCGTCGTCGTCGTCGTCGCTGTCGCCGTCGCCGTCGCCGCTGTCGCTGTCGCCGCCGCCGCCGTCGTTGTGGTCATCGTCGTCGTCGCCGTGGCCGTCGCCGCCGGGAGGGAGGAGAAGAATGAGAAGAAGGAGGAGGAGGCTTAGGAGGAGGAGGAGGCTTAGGAGAAGGAGAAGGAGAGGGAGAAAAGGGAGGAGGAGGCTTAGGAGCAGGAGGATGAGGAGGAGGAAGAGGAGGAGGAGGAGGAGGAGGCGGAGGAGGAGGTGGAGGGAGAGGGAGAGGGAGGAGAAGGAGGAGGCTTTGGAGGAGGAGGAGAAGGCGGAGGAGGAGGGAGGCGGAGGAGGATGAGGAGGAGGGAGGGAGAGGGAGGAGGGGCGAGGAGGCTTAGGAGGAGGAGGAGGAGGAGGAGGAGGAGGAGGGGAGGAGGAGAAGAAATGAGAAAGAAGAAGGAGGAGGAGGAGGAGGAGGGTTAGGAGCGAAAGGCTTAGTGAGGGGCTTAGGAGGTGATGAGGCGGAGGAGGAGGAGGAGGAGGAGGAAGAGGAGGCGGAGGGAGGCGTAGGAGGCGTAGGAGGCGTAGGAGGCGTAGGAGACGTAGGAGGCGATAGGGGCGTAGGGGAAGAGGAGGAGGAGGAGGAGGTAGGATGGAGGGGAGGGAGGGAGGAGGTGGAGAGGAGGAGGAGGAGGAGGAGGAGGTGGAGAGGGAGGAGGAGAAGGAGGAGGAGGAGGAGGAGGAGGAGGAGAAGGAGGAGGGAGAGGCGAAGGAGCAGGAGCGCCCCTCCCCGCGAGGGCACCCGGCGCTCGGGGCGCCCCTCGGCCGCTGGAACGGACGAGGCGGCCGGCGCCGCCGCTGGCGCGGCCGCCGGCTTCGGGGCAGCTGCCTGGGCCACGGCGCGGGTCCCGAGCCTCGCCGTGCAGCCCCTCCTCCCCCGCCTCCTCCTCCTCCTCCCCCTCCTCCTCCTCCTCCTCCTCCTCTTCTTCTTCTTCCTCCTCCTCCTCCTCCTCCTTCTCCTCGTCCTCATCACCGTTTTCCTCATCCTCCTCATCATCAGCATCATCGTCGTCATTATCAGCATCATCGTCGTCATCATGATCATGATCATGATCCTGATCACCATCACCGTCACCATCAGCATCACCATCCTCATCAGCATCATCTTCACCATCATCCTCTCCATCACCCTTACCGTCACCATCACCATCACCACCATCATCGTAATACTCATCATCATCGTAAGCACCGGCATCATCATCAACATCAGTACCATCAATATCATCATCGTGATCAACATCAACATCGACATCATCACCATCATTAGTATTATCGGCATCATCATCATCATCTTCACAACCACCACCACACCATCACCATCACAATTAGCATTAGCATCACAGTAATGAACATCATCATAATCATCCTCATCATCAGCATCATCATCGTCATCATAATCACCAGCATCAGCATCACCTACAACATCATCATCATCCTCATCATCAACATCATTATCATCATCACCACCATCACCACCAGCATCATCACCATCACCATCACCATCACCATCACCATCAACATCACCGTCAACATCACCATCGCCATCATCATCATCATCATCATCATCATCATCATCATCATCATCATCATCATCATCATCATCATCATCATCAACACCATCATCACCATCACCACCATCACAATTGCAACCACTCTTATCCTCGTTGAGCATGCAAGGGGAGGGCGGCCGAAGCAGGGCAGAGGTCGGAGCCGTCCGAAACATCCTTCCCTGCCCCCGCCGCTCCTCCCTGGCCCGCCCCAGGGTCTCGGCCTCGGCCTCCGTCAGGCCGGGCACGGCGAGGCCTCGCTTCTCGCCCACCGCCATACCCGCAGGGGGCCCAGGGGCGAACAGGTCAACAGGGGCAAATCCCAGGAGTCCTGGCATCTTCCATGCTTCCTGCAGGTTCGTCTCCCCCTCCACTTTCCATGTCTCCCCACATTTTCCCAAGGGAGGAGGAGGAGGAGGAGGAGGAGGAGGAGGAGGAGGAGGAGGAGGAGGAAAGGAGGGAGGAGGAGGAGGAGGAGGAGGAGGAGGAGGAGGAGGAAAGGAGGAGGAGGAGGAAGGAGGAGGAGGAGGAGGAGGAGGAGGAGGAGGAGGAGGAGGAGGAGGAGGAATGGGAGGAGGAGGAGGAGGAGGAGGAGGTGGAGGAGGATCCACGTTTATTGGTGTCTGTGTCTCTTTGTCCCTCCTGAGTGCCCCCCGCTCTGCGGGGCGGCGGCGGGGCCGCGCGCGGGGTGGCCGAGGGGTCCTGGGCTGCCTTGGGGCCGGGCGGAGAGAAAAGAGCCCGACTCGGCCCGAACTTCGAGCGATTAAATGGGTTGAGCTGCTCAGCGACAGCGGAGTCGCGAAAAAGGACCCTGGCCCGAGGAGCTGGAGGGGGAGAGCGGCGGAGGGGGGGCCCGCCTGGCAGCCGACGCCGTCGCACACGGGGCCGCCGACGCCGAGGCCGCGGCCCGCGCGGCGGCCCCCCCCCCCCAACTTCGAGGGAGGAGGAGGAGGAGGAGGAGGAGGAGGAGGAGGAGGAGGAGCAGAGTAGACCCAAGGCTCACCAACGATATTGCAATACACCCTCGTTCCAAGTTCCTTCTTCATAGGTCCCTGCACGGATTCATTTTCACTGGGGGGAGTGCCCCGCTGGCAGACAGCCGTGTGGAAACCCGGAACTGCGCCAGATTGCCATTCATTAGACATCAGCTCCGCGAGCCACGATCCTGAATCGTGCCAGAACATCGCCCCTGGGACTTCAATGCCGCGGATCAGCGTGACTGTGGCGTTCTGATGTTCCGACATCGTGCCCACACACCCTTTCTGGGACCGACGCCTCGCAATCCTCGCAAGCTTCCAAACGAATGTGCGCGGCGCTGAGGCGCGAACCCCACTAGTTGAACAAGGAGCCACCCTCCATCCGCGAAGCTCTCGCGAACTTCAGACGAACGTGCGCGGCGCTGGAGCGTGCGCCACACTCTGAAAACGGGCCGCCCTCCACCCGGGAAGCTGAAGGGGAACTGGGACACACAAATAAATACACACAAATAAAACGATTCCCCATATTTTCCCATATTTTCTGGGTTTCTGTCTTCCCCCCCACTTCCCATATTTTCCCATATTTTCTGGGAAATCGAGGATTAATTGTGTCTGTGTGTTTCTTTTCCTCCTGAGAAGCTCTTGCAGCTTCTCGGCTTCAGGATCAGAAGTGCCGAGGGGGTCTCGAGCGAAACGCCGGGCCCGCCCTTCCGACCTGCCTCGGGGTGCGACAGGGCGGGGTGATCCACGGGGAGGAAGGGTAAGGGATGGAGGAGGAGGAGGAGGAGGAGGAGGAGGAGGAGGAGGAGGAGGGGAGGAGGACGGAGGAGGAGGAGGAGGGGCGGAGGATGAGGAGGAGGGAGAGGAGGAGGAGGAGAGGAGGAGGAGGAGGGGCGGAGGAGGAGGAGGGGGAGGGAGGAGGAGGAGGAGGGGAGGAGAGGGAGGAGGAGGAACGCTCGTATCTCCCTGAGTCTGGGGTGCCTCCCCGCGCGCGCGCGCGCAGGCGCGGGGCGGCCAGCCGAAGGGTCGTCGAAGTCGTAGTCTGTCGTGCTCGAGAGTGAAGGAGCAAGGGCAACGACGCCGAAGGGCGGCTCGGGCGGCGGAGGAGGAGGAGGAGGAGTAGGAGGAGGAAAAAGAGGAGGAGGAGGAGGAGGAGGAGGAGGAGGAGGAGGAGGAAGAGGAGGAGGAGGAGGAGGTGGAGGAGGAGGAAGAGGAGCAGGAGGAGGGAACGGAGGAGGAGGAGGAGGCAAAGGAGCAGGAGGAGGGAACGGAGGAGGCAGCGGACCCTGAGATCCGACATCATAATAAAATTGCAACGTCGCCCGTGGCGAACAAAAAATGCGACGCCGGGATCTCGGGGGGCCCCCTCGCCCCAACAGGGGGGCGGGGGGCGACGACGGCGGCGGGGGACGACGAGGAGCGGCGAGGGGTGCTGCCTCGAGCCCCGCCCGCCCGCGGCCGGTTGGAGACCTCGAGGACCTCTAGGACGAGGACCTCGAGAACCCCTTGACGGTCGAGGACGAGGACCTCGAGGACGAGGACCTCGAGGACCTCGAGGACCTCGAGGACGAGGACCTCGAGGACCTTGAGGACCTCGAGGACCCCGGGGACCCCGAGGACCTCGAGGACCTCTCGGCGGTCGAGGACGGGGCGCGACGAGGCGCGACGAGGCAGCTGCCCCCCTGCACGGCGGGGCACGACGGGGCACGGCGGGGGCGGCAGCGGCGGCGGCGGCGGCGGAGCGCCGCGGCGTCCTTCGGGGCTGCGGGCGCGGGCGCGGGCGCGGGGGCGGCCGCTGCAGGGGCGGGCGCGGGCGCCGCGCCCTTCGCGGGCGCCTGGCGCGGTGGACGAACGTGGTCGTCGTCGTCGTCGTCGTCGTCGTCGTCGTCGTCGTCGTCGTCGTCGTCGTCGTCGTCGTCGTCGTCATCGTGGTGGTCAGTAGTTGGCATCCGTGGTGGTCGTCGTCGTCGTCGGTCGCTGGTCGTCGGCATCGACATGACCGTCGTCGCCATCGCCGTCGTCGGTCGTCGGAGGCCGTGGTCGTCGTCGCCTCCTCCTCGTCTTCCCTCATCTACATCTTTACCTCCTCCTGCCCGTCCTCCCGTCTACGCGGGCAGTCAGTGGCTAGCTTCATTGCCATCCGTAGTTGCGGCGCGGCTAGGTTGACCGCCAGACACGCTGGCAGCATGCTACCTCGCAAGTGTTCATCGGTGCGCAGTTCAAGTACATTCCTACCCCATGTTTTCCTCCTCGCCTCCATCATCTATCCCTATCGACATCTCTGCCTCCGCCGTGTTCCTCTCCTCCTCCTCCTCCTCCTCCTCCTCCTCATCCTTCTCCTCCTCCTCCTCCTCCCTCCCCTCTCCCCTCCTCTTCCATGACCTATGTCTGCTCCCCTTTCCCTTCCCACTCCCTCGCGTATCCTGCCCCAGATTGTCCTCCTTCTCCATACAAGCCCGCTCCCTCTCGCACCCCCGCACCCTCTACTTTTCCTCTGCCTCTTCCCTCCCTCGAGCCTCTTTTTCTTCTTCTCCTCCTCATCCTCGTTTCTCGTTTCTCTCAGCCTAAGGCCGTGCACGGCCAGCCGGATTTGGCAGTTAAAACTTGGTTGGCACATGGCCATGCTTGCTCTCAACAGATCCATGTATGACTTAGGAAATCAACACATGCGTGCAGAGCCCACGCCTCGGCATCAAATGAAGACGTCGCCACGTCCTCGTCCAATCCTCCTCCTCCTCCACCTTCTGCTCCCGCCGCCTCCTCCTCCTTTTCTGCTCCCTCCTACCTCGTTCGGCTCCCTCTGTCCCATGTCCTCCTGCAGCACTCCTCCCTGGAGCACCCCGGGCGTGTCGGCAGGGCGGGCGGGGCGCTCCCCTGGAGATCGCACCACCCGTTCGGCTCCTGAAGCCCGCAAGCTGCAGCCGCTTCGAGGACCGAAGGCAGCTGGTGCTCAACGTGCGGCTCCCGCCCTCTAGAGGAAAAAGAGCTATGCACATGCACCGATTCTGGCCAGGCCCATCCTGAGCCCAGGATCGGTGCATACGCCCTCCTGCCTTGGCCAGGAAGGCATATGCACCGATCCTGGGTCAAAGATGGGCCTTGCCAGGATCGGTGCATGTGCATAATTCTCTTCGCCCGACCTTCGCGCCCGCACGTCCGTGCCAACCTGCCGCAGTCGCTTCGAGGATGGCGCGCGGGGCCTCTTCGAAGGTGCTGCTCTCGCCCGCGCGCCGCGCACATCCGTCCTGAACGCGTGCACCGGCGCACGCAGGAGGAGGAGGGGGAGGAGGAGGAGGAGGAGGGAGGAGGGAGGAGGAGGAGGAGGAGGAGGAGGAGGAGGAGGAGGAGGAGGAGGAGGAGGAGGAGGAGGAGGAGGAGGGAGGAGGAGGAGGAGGAGGAGGAGGAGGAGGAGGAGGGTGGAGGGAGGGTGGTCTTCACACTGTGCCTCTCGCATTGGCGCCGCACGCATTCGTCTTGAACGTTTGTAGCAGATTCCAAGGATGGGGGCGGTTTCTTGTCAAGATGTGGCTATCGCTTTAGAGCCGCGAGCATTCGTCTTAAACATCCGCTGCAGCTTCAAGGGTTCTCAGGGCTGAAGTCTCAGGATTGGTTTTCTGGCACGAGCAAAGATTTTCAGGACGCAATGGTCACATTGATTCGTGGTGTTAAAGTCCCAGGAATGTTGTTCTGTCACGATTGCGGATTCTTAAGTAGCTGTCCTTCAATGGGGTCTTACCCGTAATGATAATACATCATTTCAGGAACAGATGGAGAGGACACTTGGAGGGAGGGTTTAATGCAGCATCGTCGATGCGCCTTGGGTTTACACTTGTCCTCCTGCTCCTCCTCCTCCTCCTTCTCCTTCTGCTCCCTCCTGCTCTTCGTCGTCGTCCTCCTCCTCCCTCTCCCCCTTCTCCTCCTCATCGTCATGCTCCTCCTCTTCGACCTCCTCCTCATCATCCTTTCGTCCTTATCCTCCTCCTCGACCGAAACCTCTCGTCTATGTGGCGAGGCCGTGTAGCGAAACCAGGAGCACACAACTGGCACCGCTGCAAATTGTGATCGGGAGGCGTCCGTTCAGGAGGAGAAGGGAGGATGAGGACAATGAGGGGGACAAGGCGGAGGATGACAAGGAGGAACGATAAAAAGGAACGAGATGGGGGAGGGAAGGGTGAAGGGGATGCCATCGGCGGAGAAGGATCATGATGTTGCTGCTGATGATGATGATGATGCTGCAGATGATGATGATGATGATGATGATGATGATGATGAGGAGGAGGAGGAGGAGGAGGAGGAGGAGGAGGAGGAGGTGGAGGAGGAGCACGCCAAATGATAATGCCGTAGGAGGAGGGAGGCGCCGGGACGGAGCAGGGACTGGGAGGGAGGAGGCGGAGGAGGTGGAGGGACGATAGGGGAGGACACCCGAGGGATGAGGGACCCAGACCCCCGACGTCATGATTTTTTCATTACGTCGACCCCAGAGTTCTCGACCCCTTCCCCAGGACCGGTTTGTCCTCCTGAGTCGTTTTTTGACGCTCCCGAGGCCCGGTGAGGGCCCCCAGAGGCCGAAAATGGCGAAAAACCTCCCGTCATGATTTTTTCATTACTCGAGGGGGTCTGGGGATGAGGGACCACGATGATGACGAGCGTGGCAAGGAGACCTCCGGAGCGCCCGCCGACGGGCCAGCCTCGCCCCACCCCACGAGCATGCGACTTCGCTCGTCGAGCCGCTGCCCCCCCTGCTTCTCCTCCTCCTCCTCCTCCTCCTCCTGCTCCTCCTCCTTCTCCTCCTCCCTCCCTCCCTCCCTCCCTCCCTCCCTCCCTGCCTCCCTGCTCCTCCTCATCCTCCTCGTCCTCCTCCTCCCTCCTCCTCCTCCTCCTCCTCTCCTCCTCCTCCTCCTCCCTCCTCCTCGCTCCTCCTCCTTCCTCCTCCTCCTCCTCCTCCTCCTCCTCCTCCTCCTCCTCCTCTCCTCCTCCTCCTCCTCCTCCTCCTCCTCCTCCTCCTCCTCCTCCTCCTCCTCCTCCCCCTCTCGTCCTCGTCCTCCGCCTCGACCGAAGCCCCTCGGCCGTGCGGCCCCGGGGGGCAGTGCCTCTCCGCCCGGCGTTATGGTGGCCAACACCTGGCCGACCTCCACGGTCGAGTCCGACGGCGCCCGGATCTCCGCGAGCGTGCCGCTCTCCTGCGCGGAGGGAGGAGGGAGGCATGTAGGGGAGGTAGGGAGGAGGGAGGCATGTAGGGAGGGAGGAGGGAGGCATGTGGGGAGGTAGGTAGGGAGGGAGGGGGGAGGATGAGGATAAGGATGAGGATGAGGAGGAGGAGGAGGAGGAGGATGAGGAGGAGGATGATGATGATGATGAGGAGGAGGAGGAGGATAAGGATGAGGAGGAGGATGAGGGTGATGCTGATGATGCTGCTGGTGATGATGATGATGATGATGATGATGATGATGACGATGATGATGATGATGATGATGATGTGATGATGATGATGATGATGATTGATGAGGATGATGCTGATGCTGATGATGATGATGTGATGATGATGGTGGTGATGGTGATTGATGTGATGATGATGATGATGATGATGATGATGATGTGATGATGATGATGATGATGATGATTGGGATGATGCTGATGACGATGATGAGAGTAGGAGGAGGAGGAGGAGGAGGAGGAGGAGGTAGGGGAGGAGAGGAGGAGGAGGAAGGAGAAGGAGGAGGAGGAGGAGGAGGAGGAGGAGGAGGAGGAGGAGGAGGAGGAGGCCGGAGGAGGGAGGAGGAGGAGCAAGGTGGAGGAGGAGGAGGAGGAGGAGGAGGAGGAGGAGAAGGAGGAGGGATGAAGAACGGGAGGAGGAGCAGGAGGGAGGAGGAGGGAGGAGGGAGGAGGGAGGTGGTGGAGGAGGAGGCAGGCGTGCCCCTGGCCCATCGCGGACTGCCGACAGGCGCCCTGGCTCGGCCCGAAGCCTCTGCGGCTCGGGCGGACAGCCACGGCGCGCCTGCGAGGCCCCGGGAGGGCCGCGTCCCTGGGGCGTCGCTGTGTGCGGGGGGGCGATCATCGGCGGCGGGCGAGGGGAGGAAATGAGAGGACTTCGGGGGCGGGAAGTGAGAACTTGGAGGTTCGAACTTCGAGGTTCTAGACTTTCGGGCGTTTTCGCAGTTCCTTGGCGGTTTGCCGCCCTCGGGGCGCATTCCAGTGGCTGTGCCTGGCCGAGAGCTTTCTGGGGATGCCTGGATCGTCCCGAACGGCCATCGGAGACCCGAGTTATGACCCGAAAACCGAACTCGGCGGCGAGCGAGGGGGGGAAATGAGAAGGAGAAGGCCTTCTCAGAAGGCCGCGGGACTCCTCAGAAGCCCTCGCGCCTTCTGAGAAGGGTTCGGTGCCTTCGGGGAAGTCCCAGGAGGCCGTGGGCACTTCCGAGCCTTCTGAGAAGGCCCGCCCGTTCTCGCTTCCCCCCCGGGCGCGCCGCCGAATAAAAAAAGGAGGGTGGCGAAGAAGTGGGGCGCAGAGGGGCATACTTACTGGTGCTGCGTGTCCCCTTCGGAGGCGTGCGTCCGACCCGAACACATCGTGCAGTCATCTTGTCGTGCATCGCTTCCCGAGCAGTGTGGCCAGGTGGCGCCCGCCACGGAGCTCATACTGCAGGAGTTTTCGGCGCGCGCGTCGCCCCCGGGGGGGAGCGACGCACACGTCGTCTTCGAAGGCTGGGGCGGCGCCGAACGAAACGTGCACCTCTCGTGCCCCCTCTTGGGGCCCAGGGGCCCCCTTCAGCCGGGGGCGCGCAAGCATGGACTAGCGATCCATGGGTGTGGCGCGCGGTCGCCAAATCCATGCATCGGGGGATGCGCCCTCCCCAAAATGCGGCCGGTGCCGCCTCGCTCGGCGGCGACAGTCCGCGATTGCCCATGGAAGCGGGGCCCGTCGCTAATCCACGCCCCCTTGATCCATGTTTGCGATCGCCTGATTCAGGGCCCCACGAGGTGCACGGGAGGTGCACCTTTTCTCACCCCCCCGTGTAACGCCCGCCCCCCCCCAATTACGAATCACGCACCGCCCGAGCGTACCACCTCCTCGCCCCTGCCGGGAAGCGGATGATGATGATGCTGCTGCTGCTGCTGCTGCTGCTGCTGCTGCTGATGATGATGATGATGATGATGAGGGGCAGGATGTGGAATACCATTGTGATTACTATGATGATGATAGTGATGATGACGAGGATGGATGATGATGGTGATGGTGACGATGCTGGATGATGACGATGATGATGATGATGCTGATGATGATGCTGATGAAGATGAAGATGAAGATGAAGATGAAGATGAAGATGATGATGATGATGATGATGATGATGATGATGATGATGATGATGATGATGATGATGATAATGCTGCTGCTGCTGATGATGATGATGATGATGATGATGATGATGATGATGATGATGATGATGGTGGTTGTATTTTCTGGGGCGATGATGGTGATTAGGAGGACGAGCAGGAGGATGAAGGAGAATAAGTTTAGGGGTAGGGGGGGGACTTGGGGAGGGGAGAGGGCAAGTGAAGGAAGGTCTTGGGGCGACGCGCGAAAGGATCGACCATCCCCAGGAAATCCCACCTCCCAAAACTGGCAACTGTCATCGATCATCGCTGGGTGTTTTCCCCGAATGTAGTGTGGCCCATTCCCCGCACCAAATCAGTCCCAAACCCTCAGCGACGCTTCAATCTGCAAGGAGACAGCGTACAGTGACCGCTCACGGTCGCCGAGAGCCCCACACGCGCCCGAAAACCCAGAGGACCACCCCGACAACGAGCGCCCTGCCGAGAAATGCCGTGGCGAGGAGAGGAGAGACGCTAAGGCCAGGAGAGAGCGACGAGACGGGACAGCTGGTCCTCCCCTCGCATCCTGATCATCATCCCTCTTCCCCCTCCTCCCACCTTCTCATCCCTCCTCCAAGTCATTCGCCCCCCCCTCCCTCCTTCTGCCTCCTCCTCTCTCCTCCACGCCTCCTCTGCATTCCGCCTCTCCCTCCGTTATTTTCCTCCTCCACGTCCACGTCTCCCTCCTCTCCTTCCCTCCAACCCTAGCCCTCGATCAACTGTGCGCTGGCCGAAGCCCCGAGTCGCCAATCGGGGGAAGACGTTTAAGACTGCTCATGAGCGCCAGCCAGAAGAGCACGACGACACTGACAGTGTCACTCGTAGCGAGATCGGAATCAATCTATCAAGTGGCATTGACTGAACTACGCACTGAGCATCGCACCCGTGAAAGCCCCCCCACACATTTGAGCAAGCACATGGGTGGAAAGCCGAAGCACAACGAAATACGGCTGGAGGAGCCGACACCGAGGTGAAGAGCACGAAGCAAGGGCTGAGATAACACACCAGAGGTGGTGGAAACGAAGCAGACGCGACGAACTAGAAACACATGTGGGCAAGAACACGCCGTAAAGAAACCGATACCAGGATCGAGAGCGCGAAGCCCGCATGACGAGAACGATACCGGGGTGGAGAGAAGAAACCCGAAGGAGGAAAAACGAAGACAGAGGTGGGTATAACGCATCTCTGGTGGAGGCAATCGCACAATATGTGCTCTGGCCTCGTGAGCACGCCCTCCCATGGTAGGTCGGATCTGGCCCGCGGGGGCACATGGACTGAAATGACCATCGGCCTCTGTGCATGCACAGCGCTGGCACGCGCGCAATTGCACCATCCCGCAGCGCTCCTCCGCCTTGACTTCGACACTGACCTTATCCGTCTCGATCACAGCAAGGATGTCTCCCTTGGCGCAGAAGTCACCAACCTGAGCCGCGCAGATGCCAATGGGGAATTCGCCACTCGGCCAACTCAGGGGCAAGCATGGAGGAATGGACGGGCCTGGAGGGGCGATGGGAGCAAACGCGCTTGTGGACGAGAGAAAGGCCGAGCAGCATGCCCCCGCCCCCACCCCACACACAGGTGTTACGCCACTCAATCCGCACCAGCCAACGGAAGGTGCCTGAGCCGAACGCTACTCGCCCGAATCTTCGACCTCGGTATGGACACTCATCGGTGGCGAGCGACGGGGGGAAGTGAGAAGGGGCGGGCCTTCTCAGAAGGCTCGGAAGTCCCCCAACCTCCGGAGAGTTCTTCTGAGCCTCCCCCGAAGGCACGGACAACCCCCCAGAAGGCCGGAGGGCTTCTGAGAAGCCCCGCCGCCTTCTGAGGGGACCTGCTCCTCCTCCCCTCCCCCCTCGCTCGCCGCCGAACCCATGTTTACCCAACTCGGATTCTACCCTGGCACCTGCGGGCGGGGTGGAGAGCGGGACGTGCGGAGCGGCCGAGGGCAGCGGCGAGTGGAGCAGGGCGGCGGGCAGGGGCAGCGCGCAGGCCCGGGGCCACTCCCCGGTCGTGCCCAGGGCGCGCCCCGTTGGGCACGCTGCCCCGGACATGGGCGCACGAGAAGGCGTAACCCGTACACCCTGCGAGATGCTCAAGAAATCATGGGTTAAGAAATTCATAGTCTCAGAATTTGAATAAAAAACCCAGAACTTCGATTATAATCATAGGATTTATATTGCAACATTAAGAATAATCGAGATTCTGGCCGAAAACTTAAGTTTTCTTAAGCATCGCGTGGGGTGTATGGCAGTGCGGCAACAACATCCACCAACCTACAGTGAGGGTCTTGACCTGAGGAGCCATAAATCACGAGCGAAGCCCCTGTTTTTCCGAGTAAGCCCACGCAAACCTAAGGAAACCTCTTTTTCCAGGTAGCGGAACGCATGCAAACCTAAGGAACGACCGAGCCCCTTTTGAAAAAGAAGTGTTCCTTACTCAAGGCTTTCACTGTATATTTCAACGGGGAGTCTCTGACCGCCGGCGCGCAACGAAGCAATATCGTGTCAAGGCGAGTCGTGCGTTCCTGTCGCGCCACATGTCGCCTGTTTGTTTACTGGGATTCTCGGGTAGCCGGTTCTCTCCCCGGTTCCCTTCTCCTCCTCTCGTGCTCCTCCCCGCGTATCACTACCTTCTACCTGGCGCTGGTCGACACTCCTGTTCTATAATACCTCCTCCCACCCTCTCTAGAGACCTTGTACACAGGGCTTGCGAGGCACGAAAGTCCTCACGATGTGTACCTTAATCCTCAGATTTGAAACGTGTGGCCATCCCGCAGGATCGGATTCGCCAGGGGTTGCGAGTGCGGCTTGCCCAAGGAGCCAAGTGCTGACTTGCCATCTTCCTTGTTTGCTTACTCCCCCTGTCTCTCCCCTTACTTGCTTTCCAGATGTATACTCTATCCTCTCCCTCTCTCCCTCGCTCTCCTTTTTTTTTTGTCTCTCTCTCTCTCTCTCTCTCTCTATATATATATATATATGTGTGTATCCCCCTCTCTCTCTCTCTCTCCCCCCCCCCTCTCTCTCAATATTTTTCTCTCTCTCTCTCTCTCTTATCTCTCTCTCTCTCTCTCTCTCTCCCTTCTCGTTCTCCACATCTCTCACCTCGCCTCCCATCCATCCTCCATCATCGTTCCGCTCGTTCTCCACACCAGCTGCCCTCTCGCCTGCTTCCTCCCTCCTAGATCGTGCTCAGTCATCTATCCTCTCTCGTTCCTCGTTGCTTGCCGTCTCGCATTTTCCGCACATGTTTTAGTATTACCTCTTCCGTCTCCTATGCGTTTCCCCTGAGCATATATCATACATGTATCTCCCGTCTCTCTTTGAAAGTACCTGTCTGTATGCTGTATATATACATACATACATGTGGGCACACACGTACATACATGCGTACATGTACACATGCATGCATGCATACATACATACATACATACGTACGTACGTACATACATACATACATACACACATACATCCTCACATGCCTACACATATGCACGCATACATACATGTATGCATACATGCATGCATACATAGACATGTGTATACACATTTATGTATTTATATCATATACATTTACATACACACGTATATATGTATATAAATGTATATATATATATACTGTATATTTATGTATGTGTGTATATGTATAAGCATATATATATATGTATGTATGCATGGATGTATGTATGTTTGTATGTATGTATGTATGTATGTATGTATGCATGTATGTATGTATATATGTATACATGTATGTATGTATGTATGTATGTATGTATGTATGCATGTATGTATGTATGTATGTATGTATGTATGTATGTATGTATGTATATATATGTATGTATGTATGTATGTATGTGTGTATGTATGTATGTATGTATGTATGTATGTATGTATGTATGTATGTATGTGTATATGTATAACCGTTCCCCTATGATATGGGACCATGCGCCCCCCTCCCAATAAACGGGACCCCCCAGACCCTTGGCCCTGGGGGCACCCTGGACGCCCTTGCAGATGGTCCCCATGTGCTTTCCCGGGTTCCTGCAGCCCCTGCTGGGCCTGGGCAACGAGCCCAAATCGATCAGGAGGGCGGCCGAACGGCCCCACGAGAGCCCACAGAAACCCCCAACACCCACCAAATGCCCGAAAACGACCCAAAAGAGATCACCGAGAAGCAATCGGCACGGAAGCAGGAGGCAACCGAAACGGAAATTAGGCTGGCGAAGGGCCCAAACATATGCAGCTGTGAACATCGTCGTTGTATGCACCGATTCGGAGGAGCCCTCGCTGAGGCCACGAACGTGCGAAAGGTGTGCCAAAATGGGTGCGATGGGCGCATGCGAACGCAGCCACTGGGTCCGTCGGTGGAGCTCCCTACTGGGCCACGAAGTCGTGAGGGTTGTGCCAAAGTGGGTGCGGTGGGCGCATGCGAACGCTGGCACTTGGGCCTTCGGTGGGCCCCCCTATGGGGCCACAAACATGCAAGGGTTGTACCAGAAATGACGGTTGCATGCTAACGCAGCCACTGGGCCCATAGGCGGCGCTCCCTGTTGGGCCATGAAACCTGTGAGGGGTGTGCCAAAATGTGTGCGGTGCGGTGGGCGCATGCGAACGCAGCCACTTGGACCGTCGATGGAGCTCCAGATGGGGGCCACGAAGCCTGTGAGGGGCGTGCCGACATGGGAGCGGTGGGCGCATGCGAACGCAATCAGTGGGGCCGTCGGTGGGGATCCTGATGGGGGCACGGAACGTGCGAAGGGTGTGTCAAAATGTGTGCGGTGGGTGCATGCGAACACAGCCACTGGTGCCGTCGGTGGAGCTCCCTATGCGGCCACGAAACGAAGCGCGTGAGGGGTGTGCCCAACCGTGCGCAGTGGTTGCATGCGAACGCAGCCGCTGGGGCTGTCGGTGGAGCTCCCTCTAAGCCGCGAAGCGTGTGAGGGGTGTTCCAGCAAGGAGTGCGGTGGGCGCATGCAAACGCAGCCACGTAGGCCGCAGGTGGGGCTCCCCATCGGGCCACGGGACGTCTGCGGGGCGTGCCACAGCGGGCGCGGTGGGCGCATGCGAGCGCAGCCGCTGGGGCTGGCGGTGGAGCGCCCTGTGGGGCCCCGGAGCACGTGAGGGGTGTGCCGAAATTGGTGCGGCGGGCGCACGCGAACGCTGGCGCCTGGGCCTGCGGTGGGGCTCCGCACGGGGGCACCGAACGCGAGAGGGATGTGCCACCACGGGTGCGGTGGGCGCGCGCGAGCGCCGGCGCGTGGGCCTTCGGCGGGGCTCCCTGTAGGGCCACGGAGCGTGCGGGGCGTGTATGCCCTACTGGGTGCGGCGGGCGCATGCGAACGTAACCATCGGGGCCGTCGGTGGAGCTCCCTATGATGCCACGAAGCGTGTGAGGGGAGTTCCAACATGGGTACCGGTGGGCGCATGCGAACGCAGCCGCCGGGGCTGTCGGTGGAGCCCCCGATGGGGCCACGAAACGTGCGAGGGGTGTGCCGAAGTGTGTGCGATGGGCGCATGCAAGCGCAACCACTGGGCTATTGATTGGGGCAACGGAACGTGTGAGGGGTGTGCCGGAATGGTCGAAAGGCGCGCATAGCAACGGCAGGGATGTGAGGAGCGAGGAGGAGGAGGAGGAGGAGGAGGAGGACGAGGAGGAGGAGGAGGAGGAGAAGGAGGAGAACGCAGGGCGCTGTCTCTCCAAAATGAAAGCCCAATCCCACAGGATGGCTGGGAAGTATGAAATAAGTACGGAAGACATTTCCAAACATGTTCAAACTGTTTTCGTTGTTGCGAACTGTCTAAACTGGCACATCCTGGCGATGTTTTTCAAGCTGTTCATGCTCTGAATCTTTCCAAGCTTCCAAATTCGAGGATGCGAAAAGTGTGAGGGGCGTGCCGAGGTATGAACGCACGGGACGCCTGCGGGCTGCGCCACTAGGGCCTTCGGTGGGGCTCTCTATGGGGCCACGGAACGTATGAGGGGTGTGCCGAAATGAGCGGCTGGGACGCATGCGGGCGGCGCCATTAAGGCCTTCGGTGGAGTTCCCTGTGGGGCCACGGAACATGTGAGGGTATGCCGAAATGAGCGGCTGGAATGCATGCGGGCGCTGCCACCTTGGCCTTCGGTGGAGTTCCCTATGGGGCCACGATCTTCGTGAGGTGTGTGTGTGTGCCAAAAAGGTGGACACGCGGAGAGCAGAGGCAGGGATGGGAGGAGGAGGGAGAAGGAAGAGGAGGAGGAGGGAGGAGGAGGAGAGGAGAGGAGACGCGGGGCGCTGTCTCTTCAAAACGAGGACCCAACACCGCAGGACGGCTGGGGAACAAAAACATGTACTTCCTATGGTTTTGTATGATTTGGAAGATGCTCTCCAAATAGGCTTGCCCTATAAAAGTCCTAGCTCACACCCTACTAATTGGTCCGTTGACCCTCCCCCCCTATTTCCTATGCCCCCCCCTAATTCCTATGGCTATGCCTACGACTTTGCCTCCCCCCCGAACTTCTATGCCTACGCCTATGCCTATGCCTGCTTGCTTGCTTTGCTTGCTTGCTTGCTTGCTTGCTTGCGCGCTTGCACGCTTACTTGCTTGCTTTGCTTCGCTTGCTTGCTTGCTTGCTTGCTTGCTTGCGCGCTTGCACGCTTGCTGAGTTGCGGATCCCAAGCATGCTTGATTCCTTTGATTCCTTGATTTGAGTCGTCTAAACCCATTTGGAGTGAACGCTGGCTCATCTTATGTTCCTCGGTCTTCTGGGCGTCCGCGGCCGCCTAAGAAGTCAGCGAATTGCCCCACAGGCCCCCAGGCAGTCCAAGAGGAGCCCCAGGACGGCCCAACAGGGCCCCAAGATGGCCCGAAGAGAGCCCCATGACTGCCCAATATGGCCCCAAAACGCCCCCCGAATCAGGGAGTTCGCGGTTAGAAGCAGGGTGGCCAGGGGAAGCCACAGAAGGAACACAGAAGGCCTCCATAAGGCCCCAAGAAGCCCTTCAAAACTGTCGTGAGGCCCCCAAAAGGCCCTCCTAGTTTGAGCCTCCGCCAGAAAAGCGCGGGGTGGGGACGAATTCGCAGGGTAGGGCGAGAATGATGAAGAGGAACAAGAAACATGAGGGACAAATAACGAATAACATTATTACAACGACGATGCCGGAACAAGCAACAACGAATCATCGCTACATGTTCCGTTTTACCTTCTTGCCCTGCTGCCTGCATGCCAAGCCTGAGGGACCAAAGTGCATGACGCGAAGCGACACTGCAGTCTTGTATGTATATATCTGTATGTATCCACAGACTATGCCCTCATCTTCCTCCTCGCCATTGCCCCCATAACCTTGGCAAGGCTGGCGCAAACGAACTAAGCTGATGCAGCAACACACCGTAGCAGAACACATAGCAACGCAATGCAAAGCACTACGACCTCTGCCAAGCCAAGCGGCTCAGGCCATGATCTGGGCCAGCCAGCGCTAGACTGGACGCTGCAACGCCACACGATATGATCATGCACGCAAAAATCGGTGTACATACGAGCACGTGTTAGGACTGGCCCCGATGCTTCAAGTAATACGCGTCGCGCGTATGTAGGGCTAGACCCGCATTACGGTCAGACGGGAGTTGCCGCCCAAAACTCTCCCAATGTCGAAGCCGATCTTTGTCGGCAGGACAGCAGCCCCTTCCTTGTCAATCGGGTGACCGATGCCAACTGCGGCCGCCCTCGAGCCAAACGAGAATCACGCAATCAGACGCAGCATGCTTGCCAGTAGCCCATCTTACGATTGCATGCTGCGAAGACTGCCCAGAGACGTTTCCCGCGCTTTGGACTGCGCTGCTATGCAGGTTGGGGACGCTACAAGTTCTCCGATAGCCTCCTAAACAGCTAAGAAGACTTCGCATTAAGAAGCCAGAGCCGCAGGGTAACCCTTGAGTTCGTTCCGGCTTCTGGCAAGAATCCCGGCTGCGGCCTGCTGAAGCCAAAAACGTGTCCCGAGAAACCTTTTCTAAGCGTTTCCCAACACGTCTGCCGAGAAGCTCTCCGGAATGTCCTTCAGAAGCTCTTCCCAGAAGCTTCCAGAATTCTTCGACAAGCCTTCGAACGCCCTTCTGGCGCCCTGCTATCCGGTTTCTGGACTTCACAAAACTGAAACCCTCTTAGCTCTCAGAGAGCTATCCAGGAATTTCCCGCGCTTTGGACTGCGCTGCCATCTGAGTTTTGGACGCCACGAATGTATTCCACAGGTGGGAAGCCGGCAGGCAGCGCTACGCCAGGCTCCCGATCAGGCATCCCCGCAGCAGGCTGCTTGAGCCAGCAGCGGGTCCCGAGAAGCGTTCCCACAAGAAACCCAGCCCTGAGACCCCACGACGTCCATTGATTTCTGGTGTGGGAACGTCACGCTCTCCATAGCAAATTCATCGAAACCCAAGAAACCCAGGGCACCCTGGAGGCAAGCAGGGTGTTTCTTGGCATGGGCTTCCACTGTACGCGTGCCTGCAGCCTTCCCGCAGGTGCTTCGCTCCTTCGAAGCTCCTTCGGAACTTGCAAGCTCCCCAGGCAAGGGGCATGAGCTGGCACCCCAACTACGTCAACATATGTCGACGGTGCCTCGCCCCCCATGGCTGCGCCGTCGACCAGTGCCCACTACTGCGCCTGAGGTAAGCGCAAAAGACATATCTGGGGAGCGACACCTCGACGCGACATGACCTGGCACATGCCCCCTTGCGCAAGCTGGACGAGGAGCAGGAGTGCGATGCCGAGGAGCGAGAGGATGAGGGGGAGAATAGCGTAGCACCGCGGTGATGATGGTGATGATGAGGAGGAGGAGAAGGAAGATGCTGCTGCTGATGATGCTGATGGTGATGATGATACAGTATACATATCTGCGGGCGGCATCATTACTTCCAACCTGTTTCTGCCACTCCATGAGCGTGCCCTCTGTGATGCTCTCGGCTCCAAAGTCAGGAGTCTTGATCTCGACCTCCAGCGCAGGAAGAGGAGGGCGGGCAGGAGGAGCACGAAGGAGGAGGTGCGAACATGGATGAAGGGAGAAGGAGGAAGAAGAGGATGGCAAGAATGAGTAGCAGGAGCAGGATCAGGAGGCTAGAGGAGAAGCAAGAGGATGCAGTACGTCCTGCCAACGGCCTTGCACAACTCGACGCACCCATTTCTGTCCCGTGAGTCACCGGTGAGGCAAACGAACGCGAGCAACGCCAACCAACTCTGCACCAACACCGTGGGCGCTGAAGCACGCGTGCAACCGCGAGGTGACACCAGTGCGCTTGTCGCGCGAGCGTTCGTGCCTGCGCGCATGAAAATAATGTACACGCACATCTCGGGGGTGAGGCCGTGTGGGCGGGCTGTCGGGGCTGCATATGCCGTCGGGGCCGCCAGGAATGTTCCGCACAACGATACTGCTGTCGCTCCTTCTCCTCCTCGTCCTTCTATTCCAGCTCAGCCCATTCAGTTAGCTCCCCTCCCTCACTGTCTCCCTCCCCTCCTCCCGCCCTCCTCCATACCTCCATCCCTCCCGCTCCCTCCTCCCCCCCTCCATCCCTCCCTTCCTCCCTTTTCCGACCTTCCTCCCTCCCTCCCTTCCTCCCTCCTCCGCCCTCCCACCCCTCCCTCCTCCTTTGTCTTCGCCCCTCCGTCCTCATCCTCCCTTCCTCCTCGCGCGTGGCCGAACCTCCCTCGTTGCTCCCGCCTCACTCCACTCTTACGCCCTACTCCCGCACTCCGCCGTGTCCCCTCCTCCCTTCCCACTCCGCCCCCCCTCTCTTCACTCCTGCCCCCTCCTCTCCCCGCCACCCTCCCCCTTGTCTTCACCCTCCCCCCCCCCACGAGCGGGGGCTGCACCATCCCCGCGGGACGCTGTGCCGATTGCCCCCCCCCCCCCCTCTCCCCCTCCCAGCGTCGCAGATCCGCCACCGTGCATCGAGGCACGACGTGCAGTGTTCCCCAGGCGTCTCAACCCAGGATGAAGGGGCCCCAGGACACACAATTAAATACACACAAATAAAAATGTTCCCCATATTTTCCCATATTTTCTGGGTTTTTGTCTTCCCCCCCACTCCCCATATTTTCCCACATTTTCTGGGGAATCGACGATGAATTGTGTCTGTGTGTTTCTTTCCCTCCTGACAGGAGCCCCGGAACCCAGAACCCACCGAAATCAGCCCGGAACCAATAAGTGGGAACCCGGGAACCCGGAACTCGGCACCCGGGAACCCAGCCTGCTGCCAAAATCGGCGGGAAACTTTCGCCAAGTCTTTCAACTTCCGCCGGGACCCCTTCAGTGCAAGCACTGATTTAGGGAAAAATGCATTATGACTGAGAACGCGGAGCCCGACGCCTCAAACATTTGAGGCGATCCTGCGCGCCTCTCGCACGCTCTCGGGCCAACCCGCGTGACTGGCTCCAGAGGCCTGCCCCTACGACGGGCCAAGAGAGCGCCAAGAGGCCCCCGAGAGGACTGCCCACAGGCGGCCCACTTGACCCCCCAAGACGCCCCAAGAGGGTTCCAAGAGGCCTCCGCAAGAGGGCACCGAGATGCAAAGCATTGCTGGTTCCACCGGTTTTTGAATGCGGGTGGAGCCCTCGCCACTCTGGGCGTTCGGCGCTCCAAGAGGGCCCGAGACGCCCCCCTTATTCCCCCAAGGCGGCCCCCAAGAGCGCCCCCAGACGGCCCAAGATGGCTTCAAGACGACCTACGGGGCCCCCCATACGACGACTCAATAAGGCCCCAAGGAAGGCCCAAGAGAGGCCCCACCAAGGGGAGCACGAACCGACAGCTCGAGTCTTTCTCGCCAAGATGGCCCCCGAAGCTGCCAGCGGGCCCCCAAGAGGCCCCACGCGAGCTCCGGGAGGACCCCAAGGGGCCCCCGAAGTATTCCCGGGTGCACCCCCCGGGCGCCCCAGAGCCGGCTCCACAAAGCTGCCGAGAGGCATCCCAAGAGATCCACACAAGCTCTCCCAGAGGCCCCTGACCTACAACCCAGGCGCTGAGGCGGGATGGGCAGAAGGCCGCCAGGAGTCCCTCCGCACGGCGCGCCGTGCGATGCTCCGCGCGGCACCCCGTGCAGACAAGAGTACGGCGCGTGCGGGAGGTGCGGAGGGAGCGATGGTGCGGGCTGAGGATGGTGCTTCAGCGGGGCCGCGGTGAGTCACGACGTTCGGATGCTGAATGCGACGTGGCACACGCGTGGCGTGCAGCAGCGGAGGACGTGTGGCGCGATGTGCCAGGACGTGCGCGGCGCAAGATGAGCGACGGTGCTACGATTCGGCGTAGGACGAACTGGTACCATCCAAATGATGACATGCTGTCATCAACAAGACGACCCCGAAGGGCCTGGCACACACCTCACACACATGTTGCACACTAGCGCGTGTTGAAACTGTCCCCTGATCAAGCGCACAGGAGGAAAGTGTGGCACGAATGTGACGCATCGTGAACCAATGACATATCAGGTTGGAGCAGACTTGGCATGACAAGGCATGTGCGAACTGCGCAAAGCGATAATGATCCAACTCTGACCCTGTGAAGTTTGACAGCAAATCCGACAGAGCGTGCGCATTCGTCGTGAAACACACAACGACATTCGCACAAAAAGCAATCCAGGAACAATCAAGCATGGTCATATGTGCAAGCATTGCACGGTTTCCCCCGGGCCCATAGGCGACCCGAGGAGGGGGAGGAGGAGGAGAAGGAGGAGGAGGAGGTGGAGGAGGAGAAGGAGGGAGGAGGTGGACGGGTCGCCTAAGCCCTTCGGAGAAACCCTCCACTGCACTGATGGCAGGGTGCTGAAAAGCTGGCAGAATTAATCCCCAGACCGTAGAGAAGAAACGTGGAGCAAGCCCACGTGCATTGGCGCCCACAACGTTCACCTGGGTCTGGGGCGCAAGGGCCAGGTGCATCTGGGCAGAGTGAACGGCTGGAGGGCCGCCCAGAACGACACCATCACGCCTACGGTGGTGCATGAACTGCATTGCCCAGATTCTGAACAGCAAGCGGTGTAAGCCCAATCAGATCACAAATCTGTCAACGCTCGTCGGACATTCACACCGGCCATGAATCATGGCCGGTGCAAAGGTCTGACAAGCGCCGCTGTACTTCCAGCGGCGCGACCCGACCCAGTCGTCCAAAAACTGTACATGCTTACGTCAATGAGCACCCTCGTGTTACGTGTATATATAAGGGTTGATGGCAGATCCCAGATAATCCCATGAGGTTCCCACTCTCCGTGAAGACCTACCCCATGACTGTCCCGTCCGCCCTGGCCATGTAATAACTCCCAGATGCGCTTCCAAACTGTCCTCAGCTCCCGCACACGACACCCTGTCTCCTGAGGGAGGCGCCATGCTTCCCCGCCAGCAGTGCCCGAGCCTGTGCAATGAAGATCTGGCACGCTCGGTCAAACCACGCCGCGAAACGGACTCCGCCTGACTTCTGTCGAATCGCCGCCAGCCTCACGCCAAAATTCAACGGGGCAGCGGCAACTGGGTCAACCTTGTCCCAAACGTCCGACACGGGGGTCCGGGAATCTCCCATCCCACCTTCGCACGGGATGCCCCCGCGCTGGCCCACTTTCGGGGCCCCCGAGGGGCGCACCGGGCAGCGGATGCAGATGGTACGCCCAAGCAGCACGTGTGGACCTGCTGAGATGCTCCTTTGACCGAGAGGAAGCCGACGGCGTACGCAAATTTAGATTTCCCCTCGAAGGCCTCTCGGTCCGTTTACTTCGTGCGCTCCCTTTGGATGGCGATGCTGTTCCCGCCGAGACTCCCAACGCGCCAGCCAACCAACCCGCCTAAATTTCCTTCATCTGGGCAACCCGCATCTGGGAAGAACCTTCCCAGATGCGGAAGCTCGTGCGTACTGCAAAGAAGGGCGGCGAGTACCGTACAACTGTGAACAAGGGGCCCTGGGACACACGAGTGAATCTACACAGGTCCCAGGATTCCCCATATCTGAGAATATCCTCTGGCTGTTCGTCTTGCCCCCCACTTCCCATATTTTCCCATCTGACTTTGGGGGATCGGCGATAACTTGTGTGTTTTTCCCCTCCTGAAACTGATGGGCAGCTGGGGGGCACGCCTGACCGACGACTGTGTGGTGGAACGTCGGCAGGGAGGAGGAGGAGGAGGAGGAGGAGGAGGAGGAGGAGGAGGAGGAGGAGGAGGAGGAGGAGGAGGAGGAGAGGAGGAGGAGGAGGAGGAGGGAGGAAGAGGAGGAGGAGGAGGAGGGCTGGCATCGGCGATGGGCCCCCGATGGCGAAGCTGCAGCTTCCGAACTTCCTGGGCGGGGTGGGTGGGCTATCGGGCCCCGCCAGGGCTGGACCTAAACGTTGCTTTTCGTTTTGCTTTCGTTTTGTGCGTTCGTGCTGCCCTACCTGTTTTCCTGTGCCTCCCTCCCAAGACGAAAAACAAGACACAGCCGAAGTCCAGCAAAACAGCGTTTAGGTCCAGCCCTGGGCCCCTCCCAGCGATCAATCAATTATTGGACGTCGATGCATCTGCCGCTGAGCCCATCTCCGTCCCCGCTGGTTTCCGGCGGGCCACGTCTCAAGCCCCCGGGCTGCCATTCGGGGCGATCTGGGCCCCCCCGGCATGGTCTCGGCACAGCGCAGCTGCTGCCGGGCACCCCGAGGCCGGGAAGAGAGCTCAGAACACCGACGAAACGCCCGAAAGCCTGGGGCTTCGAACCAGAAACTATGAGATTGCGGACGCGGGCGATCGGGTGAGCGCATGGTCCTAGACATCTGGCTGCTCCAATTTGTTCGGCGCGTGGGCCCCGGAGGTCTGGGCCGCATCCCTATAGGGCCAGCTTCTCACCCTGAGTCGTTTTTGAACGGTCCATCGTCCCGGCGAGGGCCCCTAGAGGCCGAAAGCTGCGAAAAACCTCCACGTGGATTTTGGTTCATACGATGAGTCTCTGGGGGGGGAGAAGGAGGAGGAGGAGGAGGAGGAGGAGGAGGAGGAGGAGGAGGAGGAGGAGGAGGAGGGAGGAGGAGGAGGCGGGGAGGGGGAGGAGCATGCCACCGCCGTCCGCACGCACGCAGGCCCGAAGAGCGCGGCTCGCCGGGTGCAGCCGCGCCACGCCGAGCGCCAGCGGCGCGAGCCCAGGCCGCGAGCCTGCGGCCAGCGCGGATGCCCACCGGCAGGGCGCGCGCGGCAGGGCCCTGCGCGGGGGGGAGGAGGAGGAGGAAAGGGAGAGGGGGAGGGAGAGGGAGAGGGGGAAGAGGAGGAGAAGTATAGTAGTAGTAGTAGTAGTAGTAGTAGTAGTAGTAGTAGTAGTAGTAGTAGTAGTAGTAGTAAGTAGTAAGTAGTAGTAGT